GGAAAGGACCCCGGTACCCAATGGGCCCCAGAGCAGATTAGGACGCAGAGGCTAGAGAAATAATCCTTCTGCCCCCGTCGCGGATCGAACCCCCGTCGTCCTCCTAATGCTTGTTTATAACCAGAGATAACTATTTAACTGAGATAATTTTACAATGTAAAATTAAATAAGATAAAAATTCAAGTTATTTTCAAGATGTCGTGCAGAACGTTAAAGTTAATAAACACCCACAAAGCATTTATATTGTTATGATACTAAGTTTCTAAACGAAAGTCGAATGTTAAATTCTTTGAACATGTTATGCATTATTTATTTGTACTACAATACTTTCTCCAGCGCAATTAAAAAGGTATTTTGGTGAAACAAGTGTTAAAGAGGACTTTACATTTTAAGTAACTGGTCCATACGTAAGTGAATGAAGTTAGCATAAATGCTACTTAGCACGGAACGTGCTGCTATCTTTCGGCAGCTACGGAACTGCAGTTGTGAAACTGCAAAAAGATCAACATGGCAGCAACAGTTGGTATTGAACCACAGTACAACGTCGGTTTTGTGTAAGTACCTCTGCAAAATCAGTGTTACAGTACGACGTTACGGATCACCCCATTACTTCCTTTCTTATATAAAGTATGTTTTATTACACTTGTGGCTGGTCCAGATCCACATGCCCTTGCATTCGGTAACTTCTTCTTCTGACATCTGTTGTGAATAACTCCGAAGTTCCTCTGGTAGTAAGGAGGCACAGTAGTAGTGTCGACAACGATGTAAAGATGTCACCACAGAAGTTAGTAATTTGCCCTCTTTAAGTTAACTAGTCTGTTGGTAACATCTGTGTTCATTAACATGTTTTTCTAGTTTAATCGACACAGAACTCAGCATACAATTGCCCGTGTTAAGGGAGCTGATTATTTTGTTACCGTTGTGTTTTTGAATATCACATATTTTGGATTTGAATGAAACTAATCATGTTGCGTACACTTTGTGTTATCTGTGGAAGGAGAATCGCTTCCGGTTCCTCTGAAGGTGGCCATTTTCTTTAGTGCAAAGTTACGGTGTTTTGGTGTTGTGTTTGGAAGATACAGGTAACTATTTATTGTCATCATTTTATCGATGTTTCCTTTAGAATCAGTGGTTGTTTTACTGTATTATTGTTTTACCATTTTCAGATTTTCTGAAATGGAAAACGACGCTGGTGAATTTGTTGATCTCTACTGTCCTAGGAAGTGGTAAGTTACATGTGTTTGACCACGTGGTAATATCGAAATAAAATTTGTGCTGATGTGTGGATGAACCAAATACATTTACCTGTTCTTACAGTTGATAAACCACCTCATTAAAACAATGCTATCCTTGTCTGAATACATTTCCAAATACGAAGCAAGAAACTTATCATTCGGTCGCTTCAGTGTGTGTGTGTTAAGTTGACTGATTTCATGGGATCGTTTGTGTTGGTGGCAGAGCAGCCTTAACGGCATGAAAATTTGTGTTTGGTTAGTGGTGGCAGAGCAGCCTTAACGGCATGACAATTTGTGTTAGGTTAGGTCATGTCAGTTTATGGCAGTTTGATAGTTTGCATTGGGGTAGGTTCTTGTGTTTGTTGAATTTTAGTTTGTATATACTTTTGTATTGACTTAATAATTTTGTAAATTTCTCTTTCAAGGGTGTATGTTTGTTGCCTCTTGTGATTTTCTGGTTATGTGAGGTATCAGTATATTGGAGTGTGACTACAGAGGTGTGGTGTAAGTTGATTGAGGAGGGTGAAGAAGACTTCCTTAGGATAGTAGGAAAGGAAGTGGCGTTTCATTTCTGAAATATTTTTGTTGGACTTTGGTATGATTCCTACAGCATTCCAAGGTGGTTTTGATACACAAAAGCTTGTGATAGATTCAGTGTTTGGTTGCATAGTTTAGTTTAAGAAGACTTATAGTATATCAAGTATTTTAATCTTGATTGAACAGTCTTGTAGGGTGTTCTCAGTAAGGCATCCACTCTGACTTTTGCTTTCAGCTCTGCAAGTAACCGGATCATCCATGCCAAGGATCATGCTTCAATCCAGATTAATATTGCTGACGTGGATCCACAAACAGGACGAATGACAGAGACGTCAAAGATGTATGCTATATGTGGGGCCATAAGAAGGATGGTAAGTTGTCATATCTTGAAGCATTAAATTTAATTATAGATATGGTTTGAAGGGCTGTGATTAATTTTGTCATGTCTATCTGTCTGTCTGCAAGTAACCTTACCCAAATTGTAATGGAGCTTGGTGTGGTAGACTTACATATAATTTCATTGAGTTATTTAGTTTCTTTTCTTTTTAATATTGTAAGCAACTGTAGTAACTTATGCATGGAGTGCAAATCCAACAGTGATTACAGTCATATAATGAGAATAGAATGTTTCTTAACAGTATATATTTGTGGTAGGTAATGTATAAACTGAAGTATATTTTTCAGAAGATAATTTCAAGACAATCTGAGTAATCAGTTTTATTTTCAGGGGGAGTCTGATGATTGCATTAATCGACTTGCGAAGAAGGATGGAGTACTAGCCAAGTATGTATCGTAATCTGTGGAAGTTTACTTCAAGTTAAGACGGACATGAATATTTATCACCAAGATGGTGGAAAACAAAGAGTCATAAATTAAATTAAATTCTCTTACTTTTTTAAAGTGCTTTTTGTTGGAAACAACATGTAATTACCACCTAATGTCTGTTCACACACCAGTCACCACCAACAATCGCCCCTGTGATCAGACCTCTTCCCTGACCGTACCTTTAACTAAGGTCTGTTGTATCTGAACAAATCTGTAGCTTGTTTGAGGAATTATCGTGCCAGTGATGATTTCTGTCTTCTGGGTTGTTGCGCCCTGTAGTCTAGTCGATGTTTACCAACGTTTCAGAAGTCCTTGCTACCTCCATCATCACGGCGGCACTGCATCTCAGAAGGCAGCCATCTTTCTACTCATTATCATGAAAACCTCAAATATTTTTTTGCCAATAATTTTTCAGTGTGACTCGTGCACCTCTTGTTAATAATATTGTTGAATGAAAATTTATTTGGAGTATGAAAGTTTAAAAGTCTTAGAACTTTGAAATTGAATTCACAAATTTAGAAAACATTTAAGAACAACTTCAAAGTCATACATTATATGGTAATTTTATCACATTTGAGCCTTCCTTATCACTGTTTATAATGAAATGTTACGATATATTTTTCATGGAACTACATGTCTACCCACAAGTTATATTCGTTGGTGATGTAGCTTAAGAAATGTGGTTAGTCATGCAGAAAATGTAACTAACACAGGTAAGAAAAATGGCATGTTCATGCTGATAGAAGTGGACATAATCTGAAGCATCTATTGACAATGGAATGAAGTGCTGTAAATAATGAAGATGGCTGTCTTCTGTGTTGTGCTGTGTAGTCTTGTAGAAGTTTACCACCATTTCAGATGTGCTTGCTGCCTCTGTCACCATGGCGATGATGACTTGTGATCTCTGAAACGTTGGTAAACTTCTGCAACACTACACGGCACAACAACTAGAAGACAGACATTTTCTTATTCGCTGCCATGAGAACCTGAAATATCACTGTTAATTAACAAGAGCTCGTCATTATCATTTCTGCTATCAGGTTTATTGAGGCCTGTTATGGCTTTCATTGTTTTAGAGGTTTCCTAAACTGCTTTTCCCATCTGGTTGATGTTTTAGAACATTTATAAAATTCTGTTTGAGCTTGTCATATCAATATGCCTGTTCTAATTTCTTCTGTATTTTGTAATTTCTGTTCTTGCGACATTTGTATTGCTATGAATTTCTTTAAAAGTACCAGAAGGTCTGTCATGAGATGCATTTATGTTAATATTAATCTTCTCACATCAGTTCTTATTCTCCTTGATTCAGTACCATTATATAATGCTGGCTTAGCAAGTGTCATATAAATTTATATTCTTCTGGTCTGAATATGTGAATTATACAGTCCCTTGTATTTTGACAAAATTTATAGTTTCTCATTCGGTCCTTTTCTGTCTCGTAAAGTACATCATATTCCAAATAGTAAGGGTTCATCCCAATGTTTTATCATTAACAGTTCACTGAAGAAGTCGAGGGTTGTGTGCTTCCGGCGAATATCAATAAATACTTAGCTTAGGCTCTACAGACTTTGATGCGAGAATAATCAGTAGAGAACTATGAATGTGAATGATTTTTGTCTCTTTGAAGCAGAATGACGTAGCCTTTGCTATGTGTGGCTTTGTATGTTTGTAGCATATTAGGCAAAGTAGTGTAATTAATAATGGTTAAATATAAATGTGGAATGTAATGTGCTGGTAAACATCTACCAGACTACACAGCGCAACAACCCAGAAGACAGAAATCTTCATACTAATTCATCGCCCTGATGATGGAGGCAGTATGACCTCTGAAACGTTGGTTAACATCGACCAGACTACAGAAGACAGAAATCTTCATACACACCGCTGTGAAAACCTCAAATCATACGTGCTGTTTTTATCTTTTCAGGAACTTTTCCAACTCCCCGTGATTCTACATAATATTTGTATAATGACAAACCAATAAATTTATTACTGAAATTAGTGTTTGTGATTCTTTTGTGTGTGAACTGTGTTGATGATTCAGTACTGTACACAACTCACACAGCAGATCTGGGACTCTTATTACCCCCTCTCTTGTGTTAAATTATTCATGTGTGGGCATCAGTATTAGTAACTAATCATCGTGAAAATTGTATGTCATGCCATGTAGCGCACACAGAGCAGTGCTTGGGAACATGATAATTCTTCAGTTACTCAAGAAATTCCATGCCTTTTATGGAACCTGAATGTCCATTACTGTGTCATGGCCCCTATACCGAGCTTGTAAATCTATCTATGCCCTCACACTCTGTTTATTGACCATCTAATATCCCCCCCCCAACCAATGAGAAAATTTAAATGTTGCAAGAACATGGGATCCTGGCTAGAAGGGTTAATTATAATCAAAGATAACATCATGAAAGCTGATTTGGCAGAAGCAATGGAAAAATAATTATAGAACTATCAATAATGAGCAGTGGTGCAATATTTCTTCATCAATGTTCATGTTTTTCCTTGGCTGTACAACCCAGTTGTGGGTCTTTGCCACGTCCAATTCGGGGGTTTTCCTAGTCTTTGAAGTGTGCATTGGTGTGTACTGAGTGACCAGCCCACTGCCTCTGCACAATCAATCCTGATTTGTCTGCTAGAGCCGTAAATCTATGACATGGGACCGCCGGCTTTACTTCCCCTCCAAAGGAAATTGTGCTACACGTTTTATCACCCTTAAAAATCCATCGACCTCGGCCAGATTTGAACCCGCAAAACTTGGGTCCAGTGGTGAGCATGCTAACCACTGGTCCACCGAGAGCGACTCATCAATGTTCATAGTAAGTTTAAAACTTTAATGTTTCTTTGATGTCACATTCAAATAATTTTACCACTTAAAAGGCCTTTCAAATTTGTAGGTTAGGGCCTCAGCATCTTTAAATTTGGCTGTAGGTAAAGACTTGGAGGTTGTATTGGCTAAAGGACAATGGAAAAGAGGCATGTGATGAATACAGTGTTTTAGGAGTTGATGCACTGTCATTTTGTAACTGGTTGTAATACTGACAGTCATTATTACACCTTTATGTTGGTGACAACAATTTGGATCGAACCTGGGGCATTTTCAATAGTCGTATGTGTAAATGTTAATAATTTTGTTATTTCGTATATGATAGGTCTAAAACATCCCACGTAGTTACAGATATTGATTTATGCTTGTGTTTTATTGATGCAGATCGTGCTCTGGATATGGACTTATTTGAAAAGCCCATGATTTTTTTTTCATCCAGAAGTGATGAGGCAAATACAATTATTATGCACATTATAACTGGAATTCATTCTTGGCAGTAATGATGTGAGTCTAAAGATGGTTCTGGGTTGTAGCAACTTGCAGTCGGATAGAAATTCACCAATGTTGCAGAGGTCCTTGCTGCCTCCATTATCTGGGCAATGAGTTAGCGAGTCCTTGCTGCCTCCATCATCTGGGCAATGAGTTAGCGAAGACCTCTAAGATGTTAGTTAACTTCTACTAGACTACATGACACTAAAACCTAGTTGTAGTTTTATGTTTCAGGACAGCAGATATGAAGACAGAAGATTCTACCCTTAATGTCATTAAGCTTTCTCTAAATTTAGTCTGCACTTAAACCATTTGTGAATTCAGTTATGCCACATTTTAGAGGATTTATGACAATACAATGATTATGTTATGTAATCTGGTCATGATACATTAACATGTATTTAGTTTTCTTTGCATTTACTTCCAGAAAGCAATGGTAGGAAGTCACATCCTTATTTCAGATCATTCTGAATGGGGAGAGCATGGTACAGAATTCTTATTATAAGTTTCATTTGAACACATTTTAATTAACCTAAGTAATTTCATGGATTGATGAGAATGTTGTATAATACTTCTTTTGTAATGAATTCGTAGGCCACCTTAAAGTCTATAAGTAGCTAATGTACTGTGACATTATATGCCCATTTTTTCATTAATTGAAACAATGATGGTTTATTAGGGTCTTTAGGGTACCACTGAGATATGGAAATGGGAGAGTTGAGAGGCAGATAATACACATGTGAGTTACAAAATAATATTCATATGCATATTAGCAGGGAGTTAGGTCAGATGAAGTTAAATTAGCAGAGATACAGGACTTAATATTTTAGGAAGTACAGAGAGAGATCAGTTTCTGAAAAGGAATATGCTTTTTCTCTTCTTGAAGAGGAATTTTGAAATCAGGTGGTATTTAGTACATGTTTTATAAGAAGGCAATGGACAAGCTGACCTTCAGAAAAATGTGAGTTCCACAGATGAGAAATGGACAAAATGCAGGCTGTCAATCTGAACTGCACTTTCAAAGGGACTAAGTAGTGAAATTAAGAAATTTTAATATTGTAATTGTGTTCAATTGTGAGGCAGAAAATTCTTCAGATATTGTTGATCAACTCTTATGGTGTCGGTATGTATGTCAGCCCCGATAACTTTTAAAAAAATTAGCGGGTCTGAGGCCCACTAGAACTCTTTCTTGAAGGTAAACTGGATAGAATCTGAGGCTGATTACTTACCTTCATTTAAGTTAAGAATGTGTAGAGCTTCAATTTCACTCCCATATACATCTGCTGATAAAGTGTTTAAACACTCTTAACTTTAAATATATTAAAATATTGTGTGATCCTGAAATTCTTTGCCAGCAAAATACTTAACTTTTGTGTGATGTGAAACAGCAACATGGCAGTTATGTACAAACTTTTTGTGGTTCTTGACTTTTACAAAATAGCTATTGAAACTTGTTATGTGGAATGCTGTATGGAGCTAGATAAT